CACTGAAACCGGAATCCTTTGTATCCTCAACAGATCCTTCAATTGTGCGACACGCTCTCAAGTTTGGGGTTTACAAGATCAATCTCCATCAGCAGGGAAAGGAGTTTGAGCCAAAAGCCACTACTGCGCTTCCTGGCACTGCCGACTTGTGCTTCCTGGTCCAGGATGGAACCAACCTAGACGACGTCATTTCCGACTTTCAGAAATCGGGAATCCAGATTCTTGAAGGCGAGGAAGTGGTCGCCCGTACTGGAGCCCAGGGTCCAATACGCAGCATTTATGTCAGAGATCCAGACGGGAATCTCATCGAGTGAGTGATGCATCGATAAGCCCGCAAGAGACCCCCCACGAGGGGCGACGTGGGAGAAAACGGGGGCGCTGACGCCAGCTCTACAGACTGTCGCACTACGAAGATGCTCATTAGGGGTTAGGGGTTCTTCAAGGTCACGACGAGTTTCTCTTTCCTCTGTAACCGATTGCCGTACGATTCTCGTTTCCGGAGTCGCGAATTGAGTTTACTCTGAGAAACTGCTTCCTGTCAATCGGCAAATGAGCACCGCCGGTGTAAGAAGCCTTTCGGATCCGTCGCTGCCAATCTTGTCACAAGTTCGGCATTGTCGAGGTTTGACTTCCTCATTTGACTGATGAATTGTTGCAAGAGTCGGATCTTGACCCCCGTCCCCTGCGTGCATCCATATCCCAGGCCGTATGCCAGATACCGCATTCGGAGGAAACAAGTACCGAATCACATTCATGAAAGTTCAGTCCGCGACTCGGTGACAAAGGCCTAGATTGTTTCACCAGCAGCGGGTGAATTGTGATGGCATCATCCGCCCTGAACCCGGGAGACCCCGCACGACGGCAGTAGAGTCTAAATGGCGTCAAAAAAGAGGCGTTCGTGTTCGTCCCAGGTTTCTTGTTGAATTGGGGGAAGACAGCTTGATTTTTGCACCTCGCGGGACGGTGATCCCTGGCGGCTGGCGCAGCACACAAGGGTGCACCCTCTTCGGGGGCGTGGGCTAGTCAAGGGTATGCCAAAGCCACTGCGGGTTACTGGCAGGTCCTCAGAGACAGTAGGCTCCTCATTTCCGCGGCACAGGCGGGAGGCTCCCGTCAACGGTTCATTTGTGATGCTTATGTTGACCAAATATAGACGGGGGCGGGATATGCCTATGGAGGCATCGCGGGATTGTTTCAGTCGCCTTTGACAAGTACATCGGGTCCTGCCTTGAGCGGTGCCCTCGGCACTCGAATGCAGGTCAATCGTAGCCACGGCGTGCCCGGAGTCGGAAAATAATGCAGGCGGTGCGCGACTGTAGCCGCAGATAGGTTTGAACATGTGACGCCACGCTTGAAAGGTGTGCCTGGCCTAGAAACTTGTCACATCTACGATTATGCTGCAAGTAAGTTTTTGCTGAGAGAGCTGCTGCCGCTGGCTGGAGGTCAGCCGCACTCGACATGGGTTCTCCGCTTGAATGTGCCGTGTTGCCCTGACGCTGGCCACATGCGTGAAACCCAACCAGAAGAAGGAACAGAAGCAGGTACATGCGACAAGATGGATGGGGGTCGCCATGTGAAGCTAGACACCCCACGCTGTCTTTGATTCGCAATTCTTGCCGGCTCTGAGTTGCTTACTATTGCTGACTTCGAGACTTTTGAAGGAGAGCCACGACAAATACAACCCGAAGAGCCAGCTTTCCCCCAGACTGCGATATCATATCGAGTGACAAGCAAACATTGACAGAGGACCAGGCTGGGGCTAGATTAGATAGACGTGGTGTTACGTAGCATTGTTAGAAAGTTGGAGGGTATATGACCCCTGATACCGGGCATTCCGCACTGGCCGGATGTACCATGTAAGCCTGGCACAATCGCCCTTGCGATGCTTGAAGGGCAGTTTCGATTTTGAGAATAGCCTCCGGTCATGCAACACCATGTGCTCGGGCTCCCAGTATCCAACGGGAAAGTCGGCCCCCTCCGAAAGATCATCCTCAAACATAAGACATCGCACAGCATGTGAGCGGTAGCCCGATCGCGTGAGAACCATCAGAGAAGATCAGGGTTTTTGGTACGATCGCTGATCACGGCCACCCGCCAACAGAACATGGCCAGATCATGGTGGCCTACTGGGGAAGATCCGCGGGCAGCTTGTCTCACTCGAAGTCGCGCTATGGATGAGCGGATCACTAAAGACCGATGCGGGCTGGTGGATTCGCGCGCTGCAGAGTCTTGGCTGTTGGTGTCGTGGGTGCCCAGCCCAATCCCTCGGTGCCCAGTGGGCCTAGAATCCCGCACCCTCCTTCGTCCCACGCTGCAGTAGACTGAACGCCTCCTTGATCACCCACAGCCGCGGAGGGCGTCATCTGTGCGTGACCCTTTCTCGATTGGCTTCGAGCCATGGTGTGACTTGGGGACCAGCCGAACCAGTGCGTTACGCTGTTGGACTTCACTTCTTCAGGGTATTGCTCCGTGGCTGCGAAAGAACGAGGAGGTCTGTTCGTCCGGAGAATCCTTTTTCTTTGATTGCTATCGTGAACCGCCACAGCACTAGTACGTGAAGAGGTGGAACTTGGAGAGGCAATGGCCCTTACCAAACATGAGCAAAGACGTACCCCTGTGCAGGATCGTGGACCATCTCGGTGGAATTTGTCCCATTGAGCCAGACTGAGGTCGCCGAGCAGAGCATGTTCCTGCATGGGAACCCGTATCCGGAGCCCTACCCATGAAATATTGGTCCAGGTACCAAGCAAGGTCCCAAAGGCCCCCCCAAGACGCCCAGGACCCCAGACCAACGTGTCCGAACAGTCGTTGCCCGGCTGGTGATAAGGGCACCCGACGAGGTCCGCCGTGACCAAGCCCCGCACCGAGGCCCCCATTGCCTTCATGGACCTCTCATGGCCTTCAATGCCCCGCCTTGAGCCCGCTCTAAAGCCCGCCAAATGGACACTAGAGTGCCACCACGACTGCAACCCCGAGGCCCGAGCCCCCCGCGGCGCCGGAAACCATGACCGTCCAGGGGGTAGGATCCCCGGCCCTCCAGGGGTTCGCACTACCGAAGTGGTAAATGCAATGGTGATCACTCTGTTGACGGCAGATGACTGTCGCAGGGGGTTTATCATGCCGACCTGCCACCCACCCTACCCCCCAAGACAAGCACCACGACCAAGTATGACATGGCCCTGGACATGCCCTGATTTTGACTCTTGACGAACCCGCAATGACCTGCGCGACTACGAATAAACGCGTCAATCCCAAGACATGTAGCCCCGGCCACCGTTGAACGCGGCGTGGATTCACCTAGGCCCGCCCAGGGGTGTGTGATGGCGGTTGATGCTAGACTCCATGCTTGCGCACAGAGGTCGACCAGAGTAGTGTCCCAGGATACACTCCCCTCTATCTGATCAGCCTCTGTCCCCTGGTCGGGGACGCACGCACGCTTGCACGCCCCCCCCCTTCTCTGCTTGTTCAGTTGGGAACATAAACGCACCGTCGGGTCCTCTCGAGCACCATCCATCTGTTCTCTTCGTCTCTTGTAGTTCCATCCGGCAGGAAAGCACACACCAACAGGCCGTTGACTCGACTCGACTCGACCTGCAGCTAGCACGACAGCCACGCCGCGTGCGCATCTCGTTGTTTGTCTCAACTCGGATCCGGCCTGAAGATCATGTCTTGATACCCTCTTCACATGTGCTCGGATATCGACGCAGTGTTGGCTTCTCCTTTTCTGTGAATCCAAACAAGACTGAGGACCATCAGACTCGTCCCAACCCTTTCACAAGGAACAAACATCTCTTAGAAGACGATCAACCACATCAGATTCGTCATCATGTCCGACGCCATCCCGCCTGAGATTGCCGACGCCAACAAAGGCCCTGGCATCCTCGCCGTCATCATTCCCGTCTCCGTCTTCAGTACGCTCTTTACCGCCGCCCGCCTCTGGGTTCGAGGCAAGATCCTGCGCCAGTTCCACGCCGACGACTGGCTTATCGTGGTATCTGTGGTGAGTACGGCCTCAGTCGAGTTGATCCTGTCTTGCCGGACCATGTGGCGCTGACCCAGGCTTCAGATATGCTGCTGGATCTCCGTGGCTTTGGCCGTCAAGGCCATTGATAACGGCAATGGCCGTCACATTGTCACCCTCAGCCAAGAAGAGCAAGAGGGTGTTGTCTTCTGGACCCTAGTCGGGTTTCCCTTGGGTATCCTATCCTTCGGTATCCCAAAGCTCGCTGTCGTTGCCGTCCTTACGCGCATCATGAGTCCCGGACGGACGCATACCATTGTCCTCTGGACTATGGCCGGCGTCTGCAACGTCCTTTTGGCCCTCAACGCCGTCTTCTTGCTGGGGAGGTGTGTTCCCGCAGAGTCCCAGTGGAACTTTGACATCAAGGGAAAGTGCTGGGATCCCCAAATCCTGGTTCGGTACGCCATCGCAACTGGAGGTGAGTTTTGGATTCTTCCTTATCCCGAGGAAGACCATCAAGCTAACGTCGTTTACAGTCTTCTCCGCTGCTGTTGACCTCTATCTCGCGGTGTACCCGGGTCTGATCCTTCTCAACCTTGGCATCAAGAAGGAACCAAGAAAGATTGCCCCTGACCGTTTGCCCTTGGGGGCTTGGCTGCATGTAAGTGGTAGACCTGGGACAAACTCGGGACAACCCCAGAACCAGCACTGGCAAAACGACACTAGGATCAACTGGCGTAGCCATCTTTCAAGTGCACGCGTCTACCGTGTTGGCTGCCAAAAGACTTTTCCTGTACGTCGTCCCAAGAGCCTCATGCTGAAACACCCCAATCTCAAATCGGAATACCATCTAACTCTCATCGCAGGGGAAACTGCCGAGATCGTCGTCTTGAACAAGTAAGCCAACGCCCCCCGCCCACCGCGCTTGAATGCGCCCACTTGAAACGGGTTTCAATGCTAACAATGTTTCCAGCGTGGAAGGTGGCACGCTCATCATCGCATCATGCATCCCGGTCCTCCAGCCATTACTACGAATCATTATGAAGAGAGAACCGCTCGCCACGTCCGGCACGCCCGGACAGGAAGGTTACAACCGCGGCGCATCCGCAGGGCGGCCGCCGAAATACTCCGATCCCAACTACAAGGGACCTGCCTTTATGCTGTATCCTGTCAAGTCGCATACGAGGACAACACACGGGTCAGCAGACTTTCTAGTGGAACACGGTGTTCCCATAGAGAAGAACTAATGCGCCGCGGCGGGCGTCACGTCTTGTCAGACCATAATCTCATTAATAAATAACGAAGCGTTTGATTTTCTGCATCATCACACTCCCATGTGCCTTTCGCTGTTGATCTGTTGAATCTCGAATCATGTAGGACGGACCAATGTTCATTCACGACGGCGTCCGTCGTTGATCATCATGCCTGGGACTCCTCACGTAATGCTGCATAAGCCCCCTGTTGCTCCAGTCTGAAGGGCGCCGTGCCAGTCGATCTCTATTGAAGCGGATATAGTCACGAATCAGTGTTTGAACGCTGCCTTGGTCACGCGGCAGAAGATGTGCGAAGTGTCAAAGTCTAAAGAGTGGCTGCCCGACTGAGGTAAGCGACGCTTCATTGCCGCGTTGACCAAAAGCCCGCCTCACATGCTGGGGCAACGCTGCTCGTACATGACCTGTCACATTCACCCCTGGACCAGGGTCCCCGGGGGCCTCCACTGGTCGCTGAACCCCCTTGCTCCCCGGGTGGGCTCGAGGCGCAAGGCGCGTCGACTTTCACCGCCGCGATGTGGTCGCTTGCGCGCTCTGTGCCGAGCCATCAATGCCACTCCCCAATATTCCTGTCAGCCGGGCCAACGGCACAAAAGATCCATCAGCAGGTCAACAGACCCACGGGCCGGATCAGAAGAGAGCGGGTTACGGTCGCAGTCGTGGAGCCTGTGGCACCTGCAAATCTCGATATGACACGATTTCCCGTGCGGATAGCCGTTGCATTGCAAAGAAATCTTACTGCTACCCAGCCAGCCATCCGCTTGTACATATACTCGATCTCCAGCCCCTCTGGCGCGAGAACTCGCAGAGCGCCAAAGCCGTATAGACTTGGCCGACACGGGCGTTTGAATGACCCATGAGAACGGCACGGACAGTCTCCACGCCGCTAGGCGAGCTTCCCAGCTGGTCCGGAGTGAATTGCCGACTGACGGTTGCAAGACTTACGCGAAGCTCTGCGGCCGGTTCGTCAAAAAAATGGCCATTGGCCATGCATCTGTTGTGGTGACCCTGACCTGCGATTTGCTATTGCGTGCTTCTCTTACGGTCGGAAGATCGACGTCATACTCCTATGTGGTTCTTTTATTGTCAAGCTGGCGACCAGACTCATGTGCGGAAGAACCGGAGCGGCCTTGGCAGTCATTCGAGGCCCGTGGAGACACCAACGAGACGCCAGAGTCGTGGTCTGCGACCATCAGGTAACAGGCCTACAAACAAATACACTCGGCAGTTGGGCCGAGTCTCCTTCTCTATATACAATGCACGGCCATAACAGCATGGGAGGAGCTAGCCCAGGGATCGAGCGGAGGCGAGCCTCAAGGAAATCCAGGCCCGTTCACGCAAGCCATCTGGTGTGGTACCAAGAATGGGGGCCTGTGAAAGTTTGTAAAGACGTCCAATGTGCGAGACGAACTGCAAAGAAGGCATTTGATGGTTGCCAAACGAATGAAACACGTCTGCATTGGGTTTCAAACCTGACAAGCGAGGGAACACAGATCCGCTATCATGAGCTCAAACTCTTCTCACGCTCGGAGCTTAGCGATGTGTCGGTTGCCAATAATCTGATTGGACGTTGAACAACCATTCTCATACAGAATGCTGCATGGTGGCCAATGGCACCAGTTCTATATGTTGAGCCGTTGTTTTTTTCACACACTAGGTCGAATCAATGACAGCTACTGGCCATAAAGCAAATGCTTTCATCGGATGCTCCCTAATGGACATATCGCCTACAGCTAGAGTACGAAATTTGGGCGAATAAAATAGAGAACCTGTTCCGAATTTGCCGGAGGCTATTAGACTAATAAATCAGAGCAAAGGTATCGTTCGTTGACCGAGAATGCAACCCCAAAAGATGAAACAAGACCAACTCCCGCGCGGATCCAGCAGCCCTTGAAGACTACCTTGCGCGTTCGTTCTCGCTGAGTGTCGTAACGTCGTGTAGCGCTATTAAGCAAGACCTCTCATGCGAGATGCTTCTTGATGCGTCCGAAGAAGGAGGCGCGCTGGGGTGAGACATCTGAAACGAGTGTTAGCCAGTGACCCGCGTTAACTGTAGCCTTTGCATGACATACCGAGCTTACACAAGGAGTCGCTATCCTTGAGAGCCGTGGCATCGCCATGGCTGACGAGGGTCGACTGAGAGGCCATGGCAGGCTGGTTGGTGACCACTTTGGATTGGGGCTTCTTGGTCTGGTGGACAAGCTTGGGCATCATGGCGCGCTCAAGGCCAGGGATGGACATGGCGGAAACATATTGCGTGTTCGACATGGTGGCGGTTGGATCGAAGAACGCTTGGAGGAACGTTTGGAGGAACGTTTGTTGAAGTTGACAGGATGTGAGTGGTCGTGATGCTTTTCAAGTGAGGTCTCGAATGCTTCGAATGAATGATGCTGTACTGCT